TCTTAGTTTTTCTCTCTGATTCAATAAAAGGCAACAAGAAAATAATCTCTGGTTGACATCACCTTTAAGCTCTGGAAAACTAATACTAACAGATTGCTAATATAAATTTGCTAGACACTTGGATCAACTTACAAAAGTAGTGCATACATAGTAAAAGTGATTTGAAAAAGGGATATGTTCCTTTCAGTACAGTCAACCATGAGAAATTTGAAAATGTGTTGGCAGAAAACAAAAACAAAAAAAAAGCTACAAAGCACACCACTTTATCTAAACCAGTAGAGTATTTCAAGCTTTCTCTTGTGTGCTCAGGGTTTATTCTGTTTCATGTGAAGTCATTCATCGATTTTTATGGAGCTGTGCAGAAATCCAAGACACGAGAGAAATGCAAGACCTGTCAAAGGTCACCACTGACGAGATACTATGGGATGTTTTTTGGACACTTAATGGGCAGATTTATGCTGTTTGATGAAAGATGCACTATAAAACAAATTTCCTTTAAATAAACACATGATTGTTTAAACATGCATGTGACTAATGACATGCAAGTGAAGCAGCTTTTGCTGAGGAGCATCAGGTTTCAGCTTGCACGTTTCCTGTCAGTGTTTAGGGATTCTGGATCCTAAAAACAGCAGTGCATGAGGCAGAGCTGTCATGAATTATGCCAGCCATTGCAGACATGTATGGTTGCTCCCGGTTATTTGGTTTCACTCAAGTTCACAAGCTGCTGGAGCTTCTGGAAAGGTCACCACCTTGTTAGGACCCACAGGGACATCAAACGACTCCATTGTTCTGTGTTTCATCCATTTTAAGAATAGTGCACCCCCGTTAACCTGTGCAAACAACTTCATCTTCAAGAAAAAAAAAACCTGAAACGTTGACTGCTTGACACTTTGCATGAAAATGTTTAAGAGTCAAAAATATTTACTTTAAAACTGTTATTAGTACAAAAATGTTTTAGAATTGTTTGGGTTTACTTCCAATGTTTTTGTTAATACATCTATGTATTCAGTTCATTCACCAGTGAATCAAGTCAATGATCGAAAATGGTGGAAAACAAAAGCAAGAAAGATTTTCCTTTGTATCTTAGCTCAAGGCAAAGAGACAATTCAATCATATTTGTTTATTTCTTCTGTCTTAGGAAAACCAGCTGAATAAATAGAGTCTTATGATTTTCGGTTGGATTCTGCTTTTGGCTCATCACCAATCCCACATAGTGAGCATGCATGCAGCGACAGTCAAGAGGAAAAACTCCCTTTTAATAGGAAGAAACCTTCAGCAGAAGCAGGCCCAGTGTGAGCAGCCAGCAATGAGAGCACATACAGTTAGTAACAATAAAAGCTAAGCCCATAGCTATTGCTAGAAGAGAAACATGACTAAACACTAAGAAAAGAGGCCAAACTCTGTCATCTATAACTGAGGGAATTGACAGCAGAAGCCCAGCTGATATTTCTCTCTAGGATGGTGTCACGACCCAACAGGAAAAGTCCAGATGAAGTTACTATGATTACAAAGAAAAAACAGAGAGCAAATAGTTGGCGGTTGAACTAACAAATACTGCCAAAAGGGAGAACAAAGTTGGAATGAAAGAAAATGATGAGAAGTGGTTCCTATGTCCTCCAGGAGCCTAAGCCTAAAGCAGCACAACTATAGAGATGGCTCAGAATAACTTGAGCCACTTTAACTATAGGATTAATAAAAAAATAAAAAATAAAAGTTTTATGACTACCCATAAAAGCAGATGGCAAACGAAAACTGGTCATTGGTTCCACAGGAGAGGAGCCTCATAACTAAAAGATCTGCCTCTCATTCTACTTTTGGAAATTCTAGGAACCACTAGTAATGGAGAGCAAAGTGCTCTGTTATGAACATAAGTAACAATCATATCTCTGAAGTAAGATGGAGCTTGGCCATTTAAGGCTTCATATGTTTAGTTTTTTTATTTTATTTTATTTATTTTTTGTTCAGTTTAAAAAAAAACGTGATCGGCTTTTTAATAAGGTATTTCAAGTGGCTTGTTCTTATTTCTCTGTTAAAAGCTTCCCTCTAGTGGTATGATTATGTAACTGCCCTTGACATCCTAGTGAAATTTTCATGGTATGTTATAAAGGAGTAGATATGTTTTTATCACAAATATAAAATAGTTTTTTATATGTAGTCTTTTTTTTTTCTTTTTTACAGACTAATGCTACTTGCCACTTCTGCCCCTTGGTTGCAGTTGTCCGGGTCATTTGTGAACTTTGGTTCACTTTCTTAAGATGTGTCTCCAATGTTAGTCATACATTTTTCAGAGTTTATATAGGAAGATATAATTAAAGAAAGGCACCAATGCCAGTCTGTTTGAGGAAACTTTATTGAAATTACTGCAGTCACTTGTTTTGCATACAAAAGGAACTAAAACTCAGACCTTTAAGTGATGCAAGTTCATTCAGATAGAAAGGAGAACATCTAAATACATTGTTGCTTTAACTCTTTTTGCATTTTGTTTGGTTCTCCATCAATTTCAAATGTTCTCGCCACAAACTCCAGCAATCTAGCCCCCCCTTTTTAAATGCCATGTCAAAAATCTCGGGGTAACATTTGATAATGGGCTCAAATTTGACAAACAGATTAGCTCCTTTGTCAGCTCAAGCTTTTTCCAACTCCGTCTTTTGGCCAAATTCAAGTCTTTTCTCAGTCGGCAGGATCTTGAGAAGGCAATCCATGCTTTTATTAGTTCAAGAC